TTGATAACTCACTGAAAGCAAATGTCCCACATAATGTTACATGGCTGGCTAAACCATTCAAATAAAGAACTGACACTGATAAAACAACTAATACAAACTCATTTAAACAACCATCCAAATGTGTGGGGTTAGTGCTTATATACATTCATTGGCCACTTTATTAAGTACACCCTACTAGTACAGGGTTGGACCCCCTTTTGCCTTCAGAACTGCCTTAATCCTTCATGGCATAGATTCAAATACTGGGAATATTCCTTAGAGATTTGGTCCATATTGACATAACAGCATCACGCAGTTGCTGCAGATTTGTCAGCTGCACATCCATGATGCAAATCATTCCACTACATCCCAAAGGTGCTTTATTGGATTGAGATCTGGTGACCGTGGAGGCCATTTTAGTACAATGAAATTATTGTTGTATTCAACAAAACTGTCTGAGATGATCAGAAGATAGGTACACTGTGATCATAAAAGAATGGACATGGTCAGCAACAATTCGCTGACACGATGTTCAATTGGTACAATTGGCCAAAGTGTGCCAACAAAATACCATTACACACCACACCATTACACCATCAGCCTGAACCGTAGATAGAAGGCAGGATGGATCCATGCTTTTATGTTGTTGACACCAAATTCGAACCCTACCATCTGAATGTCGCAGCAGAAATCAAAACTCATCAGACCAGACAACATTTTTTTTAATCTCCAATTTGGTGAGCCTATGCGAACTGTAACCTCAGTTTCTATTCTTAGCTGAAAGGACTGACACCTGGTTTGGTCTTCTGCTGCTGTAGCCCATCCGCCTCAAGGTTGGACGTGTTGTGCATTCAGAGATGCTTTTCTACATACCTCGGTTGTAATGAGTGGTTATTTGAGTTACTGTTGCCTTTCAATCAGCTGGAACCAGTCTGGCCATTCTCCTCTGACCTCTGGCATCAACATGGCATTTGTGCCCACAGAACTGCGGCTCACTGGATATTTTCTTTTTTTTTTTGGACCATTCTCTGTAAACCCTAGCGGTGGTTGTGTGTGAAAATCCCAGTAGAACAGCAGTTTCTGAAATATTTTATATTTTTATTAATCAATAAAATGCACTTTTGGTGTGCAAAATATATTTCTCTAAAACATTCATTAATCAGCAGAAACACAGGATATACTGCATTTTTTAAATCAAATATCGCTGTTAACCACATAGTCTTGTCACAGGCCGTTTGGACAAAACTCAAATACAAAGCTTTTCTCTTTGACATGCCAAACCTGGTTAGGACATTGCATCAAAACAAACATACGCAGGAATGTTGTACAGTGTATAGAGAGGGAGTGATGCCTCTCTAATGCATCTAAAGGCAAGTAGAGAGTATGGTAACGGAAAGTGGGAGATTTTAGTGATCTGTCTGCAAAGGAAGTGATGGAAGAAAGCAGACTCCTCTCATTTTAAAGAGGGGCAGAGACAATTCAGTGATTTTAACCCTCCACATATTCAAACGCCCTTAACAGCATCCTCTCAGCTCCTTCATCTCAGCTGCATGTGCTCTTTTTCTACTACGTTATAAATTCCAGCAGAAAAGGCCACTTATTCTGTCATAAATCTCCTCTCGCCACTTTCAAATTACAAAGATGCATTTGCAAAACGACTATGCCAAGTGAAGAAAAAAGGAAAGAAAAACCTCCCCTACCTTTTATGAGTCAACATGGCGCTTTCGATGGGTGGTCTGTATCTGCATACACCTTTTCTTTTTCTTTTTTTTTTTTTTTTTTGCAGGCAGGGTGACGATGTGCACCCACAACAATGGCCCTGACAGCTTCCGCACCCTGATCTCATCTGTTCCAGCCTGTGCACACTACAAAAACTATTTAACTTTCATTAAACCGTGTTTGATATCACCTTGCAAGCAGCACAAATGCTCGCCTGCTCCCCTGCATTCAATTCAGTTTTTTTTTTCTTTCCCAGAATGTGGCTTTCTTATAGTACTTGTCTTGCATTATCCATCTCATTCCTTCATTCGCACTCTTTTGCTCAACTGCTCATCTAAACCCCTTCTTCCCTCTGTCAGGCCTGTTCTGACTGACTAAATGGCAGAGCTTTGAAGCTGTGGTTAGATTTCTTGGTGCCTTTGTACTTGTTTCATAGTGTTGAAACAGTGATTCATGTACAGCTCGCACAGCCTCCATTAATTTCATGTAATGTAGCTTTTATCTCGCTAGCTGGGACAACTATCTCCAGCACTGTCTCGCGGGTCAGCATCTTGCTCACTATTGCTTTCTCTTTTTGCTTTCTTTTTCTTCCCCTTATAATTCTCTCTTAGGCTCAGGGTTGGCCTGTGGGTTTGTAGGATTGTCATGCGAGGTCATGCAAAAAAGAATGGCCATAATATAATAATATCCATTGCACATTTGGAACATGATTAATGTTTAGTTTAGTTTTTTAACATGGTACAATACAACAATAAATTCAAAAAGGGCAAAAAATAAAAAATAAATAATAATAATAATCAAAAAAAAAAATATATATATATATATATATATATATATATATATATATATATATATATATATATATATATATATATAAATACAACATTCGGTTAAATAGACTGAAGTTAAAACTCACATTCATGCATTCAGTTCAGTTGTTGGCAGTTTCAGGGCCCTATCATACACCAGGTGCAATAAGGTGCAAGACATTTTTGGAGTGTTGTGTTGCTATTTTCAGACCAACACAACCCTATTTAAATATTTAAAATGTTTAAATTGCATTACGTTGTATAAATAGCAAATCCAATTGTGCTGCTTTGTAGACTCATGGGTGTTCCAGTCTAGAAAGGGGATGTGTTAAGGCACATTGTTGGTGCGTTGCTATTTTGAGAAACTAAAATATACTGTGCAACTGACCCGCTGAAATCAGGTCTAAAGTCCAGTGCATACACAGTGCTTAATACACACAGGATGTACAGTAATATGTATATATCTTTACAAATAAAAAAGAAATAAAGGATTAAAATATTACAAAAATTATTATTTTCTACATAAATATAAAACCATAGGCTCCCTGCCTTCTTTATCTTGGGGGGCCTTTTTCAGTTTATTCATGACATTTTGCTTTTTTATAATGTTAAGAATAAAAGTGAAGTGAAAAAGAAAGTAAAGACGCGGAATGTAAGAGGCTCATTCTTTATCCTTGTGCTGCAGAAGGTCTGTTCAACTGTTTTCTCGCTAGTGAAGCGTTCAGTTGTTTCACTTACAAAGTCCACCATGTGAATAGCAAATGCAAAACACAACTGATTCTTAAAAGTAATGTGAGACGAGAGTCTGATTGGTTTAATGCACGTTATTCTCAAAACACACCTATAAATCATTAAGAGAATAAGCACAACCCAGTTAGATCATGCGGCGTGAAAAAGGATATTTTTCTATCCCTAAAATAGCAAAAGTGGACTTGAACACGGCCTTAATGCTTTTGGGCCATGCGCTTTAGACTAGATCATTAAAATAGAGCCTTTAGTTTTTGCCAGAAAAAAAAAAATCATGAATATCAGTAATCTAATTATTTGCCTTAATTAGAATAAAACAATAATAGGTGTTAACATGAGTTGCTATTTGAATGTTACTTTCATGATCCCATTTTACATGTTACATAGATCATTATGTCATCATGCTATCCAATGTTTCCTTTGGAGTTTCATATAATTTTATTCTTAATTTTGTGTTTTATTTTTAATGTTTCAACTTAGTCAACTGTAGTTTGGCAGTTTTTCCATTTCATTCATGTCCCCTTGACAAACTGAGATTTTGGAACGCAAGTATGAAGTAAGGACTGGTAGAAGAGTGTTGTTTTAATGGAATTTGACACTGCATACCAAATGGTAAGAAAAAACTTCTGCATTTCGCAATGTGGGTGTCGGTGCTCCTTTTCTGACCTGGTAAGTGCAGAGAATAGTCAATCAATCAATCTTATTAATAGTGTCAAACAGCCGTGTGTGTATGGAATATTCTGTCAGAAAATTCAGCGCAAAGTCCTACATAGCCGTAATAGTTTGATTGCAGAGTTTACATGTCTGTACTGCACTTCAATAATGACACTAAAATCGGCATACTCCACATGTCCTGATTCCATTTCTGTTTAGTTGGATTAGACTTTAGTCAGATGAAAGTCATCAAAAATTGCTCTTAGACTCAATTGACAATTGTCTAAATTGTATTAAAATTAATTATTTTTATGCAGATTTTAGATATGCCCATAAAAAATCGATTGATGGAAACACCAAGTTGTGCATAAATTTTGAAAATACACATAAAAACATTTGCACATAACTGAGTAGGATAGGATTTTATTCAATAAGAAAATATGCGCATAAAGATGGAAACACTTTTACCGAACAAATTCCAGTACGTGCATTAAAAACAAACCAGCAAACCAGCAGGCTGAGCACACTGTAAAACAACTGAAATGTTGTTTTTGTCATTCTAAAATGCCTTAACCATTTCAGTATTAGTGTATTATATTATTAATTATACCTCCAATATCATGAGGGTCTGCTTCGCGTTTCCCACCTACAAACGCCACCATGCGTTCATTGCATGTCAGCATTTGTCTTCTGAGACATCTGATATTTAGAGGCTTCTGATATTTGGTGCCAGTTTATCAAGAAGTGACAATTTTGTTCTCTGTGACTCATCGGATTGAAACGGTGCTTTATTCGCATGCCTTGTATACAATATTCTTGTTTTGCGCATAAATTCAATTTGCAGCTTTGGATGGAAGCATAGCCATTCTCACAGACATCGTTGTTTTGGATGTCTTGTATTTGAATAAATGCCTAAACACTTAATATGTATCCAAATGACATCACTATACTGGCAAAATTGTGCTTTGTGTAGTTTAAAACCTTTTCTGTGAAACCTGTTTTTAAAAAGTAACACTTTAAAGACCCAAAATGCTGCTTTGTGTTAATTATCAAATCTTATTTTAATGTATTTGTGTTAATTAACATATTTTATCAACCCTAAAAACTGTTGCACTACATTTGTTTGCTTGTTTGATTCGTAGTTTACAGTTGTTCATTCAGGGGAGTCAGTCAATCATGATTTTATACTTACTGTATAAAAAGTGCTGTTGCATGTACTACAGATGATATGTATCACTATTCTCTCTCTCTCTCAGTTTCCCTTCATAGGCGTTTTTCTATTACAGATAGCAGCAACTTCAAACCTCACCTGGAAATGATGGGGGAATGTGGTGGAGGTGTTCGATATAGCCTCAGGCTGATTCTTTCTTATTTCTTTATTTCTGTCCTTTGCACCGTTCTCCAGAACAGGGCGACACAGATCCACTGATTGGTGGAGTTTGGATCAGAAGACAAGCTAAGCATTCACGAGCAGAGAACATTCGGCTCCTCTATCATCCGCCACATACTTGACCCGCAGTAACTCCGCTTTGACAGAGCATCACAGGCTTTCTGTGTAAGACAGGGCCTTGTTTTAGGAAAATGTGATTATGAAAGACATCAAATCGTAGATGTCCTGGCTCTCTCTCTCTCTTTTTTAGCTTTGTTGAAGGCGGCTGACAGAAGCCAGCTTCTGGTTACGTTTTGCGAACTGTCACTCTCCCCTAAGATAACACCCCTGCACAGAGGCTTGGAAATGCCAAGGTTCAAGTTTACAATTTAAAAGTTTAAATGCAGAACCACGGGTCACCGAGGGCCACAGTAAAGGTCAGTGCCATGACGACGGCTGTTGGATATTGTTCAGCCCCTCGAGTTACACGTTCTATCTTTATCTCGCCTTTCTTTCTCATTTCTGGCATATTCGAACTAGAAGTCTGTTCAAATAAAAACAATGATTTCATAGCAGGTCTTTGCAATTTCTCAGATGAGTAATATGTTATTTGCAGAGAAAGCTGTGCATGAGGGTGTTTCTGATTCTCAGCGTTCTTACCAGAAGCTGAACCGTAATTATGGAATAGGCAATTCAGCGTGATCGTCCCACTGTGCGATCTTCTGAGTGAGCATAGCAGGAGACATGAAGACACCTGTGTCTCAGCAGGGACTGGACCTCCTCTCTTCATTCCCGTCCTCTCTTTCTGAAATGACATGAAAACATTTGAATAAATCTGTTTCGTACACATATAGGATGATTAACCATCGGTGCCTCCGCAGCCTTTAAAAGCAAAGCATATTGGCTGGAGTCTGTGCCAAGGCGCATCGCTCTCCCCCTTCTCCCCCTTCCGGGCCTCGACGGTTATGCTCTTTCCCTGCAGGGGGCCCTGGAGCCGGTCTTGTCCTGACACCGCAAACATATGTAAGGACACCTGAGCTACGGCCTCCAGCCTCCCGCCACCAAGGGTTAATTTTCCACCCAGCCGCGCGGCAGCCAGACTTGGCCAAGTTTCCTGTCGCCCACAGTGCACCACAAGCTGTGTTTGGGAGCCAGCAAACAACATTAATCCTGCCCCTATGACGGATCGCATATGCAAAATGTCCGCCACCCTACGCGTTCACACAGTCAGGCAGGTACGGGGACAGGAAGGAAAGACGACGTAGTTGGACAGAGAGGAAGAGAGATTACGGGAAAGGAGGAGGAGGAGGGAGAGCGCAGACTGTACTTCATCACACCACTGGAAGTTTCAATCTTCCTTTTGTCTTTAACATTTCAGGTGCCGATGTGTGCGATGCCAGGAAAGGTCAGGAGATGATTTACTGAACATTTATGGAGGCTTTATCTTCAGTCCTTGTCACCAAGTCGGGCGATGCTTCATAGAGGGTCGCCAAAACAGACGTGGAAAAAAGAGAGCGTGACAACACCGCAACCCCAGAGTTCCGCAATGACACAGTAAGAAAACAAGAATGCGCTCTTTCATTAGCAAAGCACCGCTGAGAATAAACACTCTCATTTTTTTCTCTTCATCCCATTCACTCTATCTCTAAGAGGGGGAGTGGAGTTCTGGTATAGGTGTTTCTCAACAGGGTTTCCTCTTTTGTGTGTCCATTATGAAACCTCAGCGTGAGAGCCATGTTCATGCGTCCGTGACTGTTCTACAGAATTGAACAATGTCGTCTAAAGTGCAACAAAGTGACACTTTTCCTAACTTTTCTCTTCTGTTGTGTCCTGTGTGGTAAACAACAGTGGTGTGTGCTGAAAATGACAAGGTAAAATTGCCTCTGTGTGTTTGCACATTTTTAGTCCACAGTAATTTAGATATGCATATTCATAAATTTCATGTTGAATTTAAATGTTTGTTGTTACACTTTTTTTTGGTGGCCCACTTTAGAGATTCTGTTAGTTACCTTGCAAATACATGTTGAGTAAGCATTAGTAGACTGTGAAATTAGAAGAATTAATTGTAGTTACTGTAAAATAAATAAATGAATAAATTAGTAACGAAATAAAAAGAAAAGTATTTTAAATTTAAATTTTAAAGCAACAATCTTTTGGACGTTTTTGACTCAGCTGTCACCCCATGGGCTAAAATATATGCAAAGCTAGTGTTTTTCAGCCAATTATGAATTTCCGGTGAAAGTTTTTTGTGACTATTTTCAATTTTTTACACTCTCAGAAAAATGGTACAATTTTGTACCAAAGAAGATACAAACCCTTGTCACTGGGGCAGTAACTGTTTATGGAACAGAATTGTACTTTAAGACCAAAAAAAATAAAAAAAATGTAGCCTACCATTGCAGATTGTACCTTTAAGGACATGATTTGTACCATGGGAAACCAAAATGTAGCTTTGGTTTTAAAAACCTGCTGATGCAATATTGAACCAGCAATATTGTTAAAAAATACTTTAACATTCTGTAAATCAAAAGATCGATTTTTGTATTATAGAACTTAATAATTAATGTTTATGAGTTTCTTTAAACATATGCTTTTAAAGGATGGTTTATGTTTTATTATGGAAATTATTCATAAAATCACGTTGCCTTTCCAGTAATATTTATTTTCATAGATATTGTAATAAAGGAGTTGTCCAACACTTATGAACCTTTTTTTATGAGAACAGTTGTGTAGCTTTATTTCAAATTCAGTTGTACTATAAAATGTACAGAACAATATCATAAAAGGTCTGTTCTGTACTACAAAAGGTACAATTTCAACAAAACTGTTTTCATAAGGAACAATATTTGTACCATCATGTATTTTTTTTAAGTGTAAGGTTCCTTTTACAGCATCGATGTTGTAATGTAATTTAAATATAATCAGTTAAATAGACTTAAGCATCCATTTGGTTGTTAAAACGTAAAAAGAGATGAAAGACAATGTAAACGCAGGCGTCAACATTAGCAGCAGGCTAGCGCAGAAATTCTATTGAAAATACTGGTATAAAATTTATTAACATATTTTAACATGGTGAGGAATAATTGAATAGAATGTAGTGCTTCTTGTTTGGTATGATACCCAATTATATCTCACCCTCTTTGTATCTCAGCCAGGCAGTGAAGATTTTTTAATTTATTTATTTTTTAAGAAATCAGATCTTAAATGTGGTGATTTTGTATGGGATATCAATTAGCTGGAAGCCCTGGGGCTGGCTGACTGAAATTAAAAGTCAGTGTGCATATACCGCATTACTTTACTTGACTTGATTTAAGTTAACTCAAAAAGTCCTGAAGTTTGTTTCCTTAATATTTTAAGTGAGTCAACTGTTTTTTAGAGTGTATCTTCAACTATATTTTTCAATATTATCTGGATGCAGCCTTTATGATGCAAGCTGAGATTGCATCAATCAGCGATGCAATGTCAGACACAATGCACTCAATAAAGTGAATGGCATCACGGTGACTGGTAGGGTTAGGGATTGGGTTAGGTGAGCACATTAAAAAGTATTGGATGCAGCTTGGATTGCACTGCACCAGGTCTGCATCCAGACCCCTCTCTTAATTTTTTTGCTCAAATTCAATTAAAAAAAAACTTCAAAAATACTTGTTATTAGTTAGTCCAAATTTGACTCCAACTTTTAAAAATATCATGAGATGGCCTGCATTTGTGTTTATTAGTCCAGGCACCCATTCTGCATGTCTTCATTTAGCATTTCTTAAATAGATGTATGCAATTTATGGGAAGGTGATTCCCCCAGGATTGGAATTGAATATTAATGCCAAAGAAAACTAAATTAAATTTACAAAAAAAAAAAAATTGTATTCTTTCAACATATTATTAATTAATATTTTACAGCACACCATGACTGTTATGGAAAACTTTGTTTTTAGATGTCACTAAGAAAATGAGTTCAATACACGAAAGATGCAACCACCGATGGTGTTATATGTTGTTCACATAAACAATGTTTTGAATTCATTAAATGTCATATGTCTGTGCATTCTTTATTACACTATTTGTACAGTAATTTAATTTTCTTTTATCTGTTACCTCCTCAGTAAAAAAACCCTGCTGGTTAGCAGATAACAGTCTAAAGTACGTTAGGCATGAAGGATGCTGGACTGACAGACTTCTCTCTTCAAGACTTTGTGCCTTTCTCTCCATGTCTTATTTGTCCCACTCAGCATGCTTCATCATCTCGCCTTAGCCGAACACCGCCTAGACCCAGCATGTCTTCTCTACGTTCTGCTTTCCTTTCTTTATTTTAACTCACTCAAGAAAACAAGTGTCAGAACACTACTTTTTTGGCCCACAAAATGTCCTTGTGTTTGTTTGTCTGTTTCATATCGTCCTCATCACAACTTGGATGGAAACCTTGATTGAGTTAAAGATGTTTTCTTTCGTGGTGTAAATAATTTCATCATGTTCATCAGGTGTCTCCTAATTCAAGGGCTTATTCAAAACTTGTTTTCTTGTCTTCCCCCTAAACTGGCATTACAAGGTCTCGCTAATGACATCCTGTCATTGTGCTGGAATTGGCTTTTTAAATATGCTTCCTTAAATACAGTTTAAAGACTACATATTTGAAATTAGGGGGGAAATCCTGGAACCTTGGACGATCGGGTAGAATAATTCAGTTTACGAACCGTGCCTCTTTCACACAATCAATAGCAGCCAGAGGCATGTAAAATATCATTACATGTACTTTGCATTTTATTTTGATTGCTTGTTATTATGCACACCATGTAGGTTGCTAGGTCTAAGGTCGGCGGAATTACAAAGTGAGTTCCCTCTCATTCGTGTGATGTTTCGCAGCATGGTCAAAAGGCAAAGTTCGTAACATTTAGACTCGCAGTCCCAAAAGCTCGTCAGATTTTCCACAGGCCCATCCCAGAAGAGCCTGAAAAAGTATAACTACTGAAAACAGCATTATTTCAGAAACAACCAAGGGTGACAAGAGGTTTTCATTGCAGATTAAAAATCAATGATCTTTTCAGCTTGTGCCGGCAAGGGTTAGCGCTGCAGAGAAAGAAACGGCTTTCACAACAACCATTTGATTAACCTGGATGATTTTATGTGCTGATAGCGTCCACGGTGAGCAAATCATTATTAGATCTCATTTTCTGCACGGAGAAAACCAGTGAAGCTTAGCTCCACGCCGTGCCCTGTGCATTGAATTTCTGTCTTTGACTTAAATAGGAATAAAGATGAGAAGAGAAACTGGGCGGAAAAACTCTGGGTGGAGAGAGAGAGAGAGAGAGAGAGAGAGACAGAGAGAAGGCTTCTACGTATGTGTGGTGCCACAGGAAGGAGGGCAGTGCCCGTGTTTGTGTGTTTGCTGTAGAGGCAAAGGCATAACCCTCCTGCAGCAGAGGTGCTCTGAGTAATGGATCTAGAATACTCAATACCAACACACTCATCACTTCTCATCCTCTGAAGCCAGGGTCAAAGAAAGCCGCTATATCTCACTCATTCTCCATCTTTCGCTCTTGTTGGCTTCAACAGGGTGGCCACGTCGCCCTTTCACCCCACCGAGAGCGAATGAATGTGTCTCAGGGTTGCTGCTGCGAGCGCTTGATCTGAGAAGCAGAATGGATGGGAGTGTATTGTCAGACTGTCATTCAGCCGGTCTGCAGCAGCAGTAAGCCTTCACAAAATATTAAACTGCTTTCACCACATAAAAGCCGTCCTCTCATACTGCTGACATATGGCTTGAAAAGCCGCCTCTGGTTTGTTTTGGAGAGGTGGAAATTGAACACAACGGCTATTTGAAGTGGGTCGAGTCTCTTTCTGAAGCTGGATATACCAATGACAGTATAGAGAGAAAAAAGCAAAAGCCTTGCTATTACAACCTGTGAGGTTTTGAAAGTTACCAATGGAGGTGCGAGGGGAGAGGAGATCGAGCTGAGACTTGTATGTGTGTGTCAAGTGGTGTAAAACCTCGAACATCGACCACCATCTTTTTCTCTCTCTCTTTCTCACTGGAAAAAAAGAGCAAAACATGGGCCTCGGTTCACATCTGGAATTACAGTACATCTTGGGGCCCAATCACAAGTTGACCGGGGAGAACTAAGATGCACAAAGTGTGAAATGTATTAATGTATAAATCATAAAAAATGTATTAATATTAAAATATTTTTATTATTTAATAAAAATGTTGATGATGATGATAATAATAATGATAATAATAATAATAATAATAATAATAATAATATTATTATTATTATTATTATTATTATTATCAGTAGTAGTAGTAGTAGTAGTAATAGTATCATAATAATAATAATAATACTAATATTAATAATAATTTACAAATAGCCAATGATTTATGACGGAAAATGAATGGCAGGTGAGTATTAGCACAGATTAATGTTGACATTGTGCATGCACTTTTATCTGACTCTGAAATGGAATAACTTTACTTTGTAGCATTTATTCATTATTATTAATTAGCTATCACTATTTTTCTGTATTTAAATGTTTTGTCATTTTAATTTTAGTTTACATATTAGTGATTTAATGTGCTTTTCTGTCATTTGTTTGGGTTAGTTATATTTGTTTATAACCTGTAGTACTTATAATAATTCTGTTTAAACTGTAATTCAGGCGCAAATATTTTCTTCTTCTCTTGTAAGGATGGCTATGTCCATAATATCAGACCCTCAGAACTGTTACGGAATTCCACGAGACAGGACCATGAGAATTGTCAGCCATTAAAACAGTAAACTTTCACTGTGAACCCTAATGTTGTCTTTACTTAATTTAGTAAAGTTGACTGAATATAACTTAACATTTTGCAATTTGGCCCTATCACATAAAAATATGAGTTAATTTAACTTTTGTACCTTGAAAATGCATAAACTTAAGATTTCAATAGTAAACTCAAAATCATAATTAATCCTTTGAAAAAATTGGTAATTTTCACAAATGTATGGTCTTGACTGTAAAAGTCTAATATGTGCTACCTTTTAAGAGCAAGGTCTTTTTTTTAAATCAGAAAACAAATAGCAAGTATAATCATTCATCATAATGTGAATAAATGGCTACTTATTTTTTGTTTTGAATTTATTTGAAAAGGTTTTCATAGTATATTTTTACACTAAGTTTATTTAACTTAGTACTAAGTTTGGTGAACTTAACAATTTAATATAGTCTATTAAACCGGCAAGTTAAATAAACCTTAATATGCAAGTTTTGGGAGACTCTATTACTCAATTAAATTGAGGCAACGAGTTTACTCAATTAATTTAGTTCAGTCAATTTATTAGGGTTTTCAGTGTAATCTGAGAAGAAGATCAGCGAGGAAACCAGTTGTTCAACTGTCTCAATCATGCAGCTTGAGCCCCTCTCTTTGCCCTCGACCTTACCTTCTCCACCAGAGCAGATCACACACATTCCACACAGAATGTTTTTAATATGGTGTATCTTGTGGCTCTGTATTCATGGTTGGTATCATTTTAGATGTATCTGTGTGCTTGGTAAAGTCGTCTCAATTTCACAGTAATATTTCATCATTTTACTTGTGTATGTTGATCTGGGTTTCGGTTTTGATAAGATATTTGCCATATGCTCAACTCCAGGGAAAATGGTCATCACATCAACTCATGACTGGACAAGGTTCTTTCATTTATGATCATTTGTTGTGATTCGAGGATTTAAGGGAAAGGTGCAGAAGTGTCTGTGGGATCCTGTAGCTAGGACACCTAGTTGCAGTGTGTGAGTCTCTGAGCTCTGCATAAAGGGTTATATACTGCAATTTACGTTTACACGGTCAGGTATTAATCTCTAACTCTTAATGAATTTTTGGGTAATTTATGTTGTACATTTCTAAAGTGGCTTATTTTGTTTAATTATGTGAATTGGAATAGAAAACCTTTTCATGACATAAATGTAAAATTCTTGTTTTACTCTAATATCTGCTAAAATCTTTGTAACTACGAGATTGTTTTGGCTGATATTTCAGCAGCCTATGACCAGAATTTGTTCTTACATTCATTTTTGACAATCACTGTCTTAGTATGAGATAATCTAGTGGCTAAATCAAAATGTCTTTATGTATGTGCAAGCATGGGGCAACCTAATATTACTTAAATGTTATTAGTTTACAGTATCCTCTATCTAAGAACCAGAACTGGCAAGGATGTGTCTGTGAGCAGATGTAACTGGCCAGCATACTGACTCTAAGCGACTTTGGGTAAACAATAAACCGTCAACTGAGAATAAGGACTTATTAGGTTAATAGATCTAAAATAGACCAACTTTAAAGTAAGGCGATCAGCTTGAATTAGATTAATCTAAATTTAAATTATTATAAATTGGAGTCAGATGAAAAATCAATTTTAATAAATAAAAATATTTCTTTTTGCATGTGCTATAAAGGCTTACAAGCATTTAACCTTTACCCATGCTGTTAGTTTCATCATTGGGCTAATAGATGGACCCTTACACTCTTTTACTGTTAAAAATGAATTAAATTGAATGTGTTTGGTTAACAATAACAGCATTGATCACAATGCATTATGCAGGATAAAATCACACACTTTGCACTCCATTTACACTTACATCTGGTCCTTGAGCAGTTACAATTGGATTACCTGTGACGGGCCTCAGGTGTAAATGAGACCACGGAGGTATTCTTGCAACTTCATCCAGTGTCTCACTGGTTCTCCTCACCTCCTCTGTGCTCATTTTTACACTTACATGAAATCTATCCCACACCCTCCCAAACAGTCCTGGCTCAGAGAGAGATAACAGTGGATTTGGTCCCGGCTGGGCCAACGATTTCCACATTGAAACTGCTATTCATATCAGAGAAGCTGCCCGAACATCAGGCAAGAGAAAAGGTGTGAAATAGCGCAGCCAATCTGGAGAGTTCTGGGCAGACAGACAGTGTAAGACTGTCCAGGTGTCTTATAATATGAGGATGAGAGCTTTGCCAAGGATTGAGCAGCACAGGCCTGATATGAAGAGAGAGAGAGAGAGACTTACCGAGGACTTCAGAGACATCAGAGGAACTGCCTGTGCTGGCAGAGAGCCATAACCAAGACCATCATTTTCAACCCCCAAATTAGAGAGGTGACCATCTGACAATAAAACAGCCTGTGGAGAGGAGAGAGAGGAAAAAAAAGTCAGACTTCCATTATAAATATTAATCAAATGGAAGCCTTTCGGAGATGGCATTTCTCTGCAGGAAAAGATGTAGTACTTGCCTGTCAGGGCAGCAGAGGAGGTCAGCTTGGCCTTTCCCTTGAGTCAAACTTGATTTAGCCCTTTTCGCCAATTTACAGAGTAGAAACTTTGAACTTAAATATGATATTAAAATAAAATCAAAACGGTGAGAGAAAACAACCAAGAGAGTGCATTTTATTATAAAAGATTTTATATAGAAGTGTTTTTTTTATACATTACATATTGCTACTGTGTATTATGTGTTATTGTATATATTTATTAAACCCCCTGAATTATTAGCCCCCTTTTTTATTTTTCCCCCAATTTCTGTTTAACGGGGGAAGGATTTTTTTCAACACATTTCTAAACGTAATAGTTTTAGTAACTAATTTCTAATAACTGATTTATTTTTATATATTTGTCATGATGACAGTAAATAAATATTTTACTGGATATTTTTCAAGGCACTTCTATATAGCTTAGAGTGACATTTAAAAGCTTAACTAGGTAAATTAGTTTAATTAGGCAGGTTTGGGTAATTAGGCAAGTTATTGTATAATGATGGTTTGTTCCAAAAATATATAGCTTAAAGGGGCTAATAATTTTGACCTTAAACTGGCTTTTAAAAATTAAAAACTGCTTTTATTCTAGCTGAAATAAAACAAATAAGAATTTCTCTAGAAGAAAAAATATTATCAGACATATACTGTGAAAATTTCCTTGCTCACTTAAACATTTTTTTAATTTTTAAAAAAGAAAAAACTTCAAAGGGGTTTAATAAATCTGATTTCATCGAAATTGTTTTTTTAACTGCTATTTAGTATTATAGTAATTATAGTACAGTAGAGCTTCTCTTAGCTGATTGTTCTTAAACAGTGATGTTTGTTAAACTTGATTTTAATCTTTTTGCCAGCACTGTAAAAAACTTTAAACTCATGTGAAATTAAAGTAAAATAATAAAAAAAACAGAGAAAACACGGAAGAAAGAGTATTATTCTTATGTCGAGAAGGAAAAATGTTAATGTTACATCCTCCCCTGTTCTATTGTTCTTCTGCAGGTCTTTAACCAGCCCAACTCTTGGCAGGTACAGAACACTAAAGGACCATTTTATTTCTAAATGAGTCTGAATGGCGCTCCACAAAGACTGGAAATGCTGCTGCCCTTTCATTTTAAATGGTACGTTGGCATTTAACATTACACATGTCAGCAGAACTTCACTCTCCATTTATGGCTTCTTAATGTATGTGTATTTGTTCACAGCCACTTATGATATTAGCTGTTGTCATCGACTGTGGAAAGGGACATTTAACATGTAGATATGAAAAACTCTCTTGTGATTGTAAAAGAATTTATAAACTACATTCATAAACTCCTACCTTTTCTATAGCCTTATCCACTCGGCTGCAGCACAGAAGCATTGACTTGCGATTACGGAATACAGAATATTTAGTATATTGCCTTTTTTCTCGGCCACATAAGGTGTACTAATATACGGACGGTGTTTATAATGATAATGTGCTCCTAAATATACATGTGTATATCATTTTGGCTCACACTTTATTTTGTTATCCTTGTTATATATACATAATATAGTAATATCCGCAAATGATGCATAATGGTGGGGCGACACTTTGGCACAGTGGGTAGGATGATCACCTCACAGCAAGAAAGTCGCTGGTTTGAGCCTCGGCTGGTTCAGTTGGCATTTCTTTGTGGAGTTTGCATGTTCTCTCCGTGTTCGGGGAGACAAAGACATGCACTTCAGGTGAATTGGGTAAGCTAAATTGTCCGTAGTGTATGTGTTTGAATGGGAGTGTATGGGTGTTCCCCAGTGTTGGGTTGCAGCTGGAAGGGCATCCGCTGCGAAAAACATATCCTGCAAAAGTTGAGGGTTTATACCGCTGTGGCAACCCCAGATTAAGGGATTAAGCCAAAAAGAAAATGAGAGATATGCATAATGGCTACAATTGTTTTACATGCCATCTAATTACAAATTACATTATGAATTGTATTGTAGTCAGAAGTGCAATCTAGATAACTTTCATTTAGGTAACGTATTCTTATTACTTTTATGTTACGTTTTATTTTTGCTGCTGTTGTCATCCCCAAAATCTGAAGCATGGATTGCAAATTAATTAACAATATGGCATTTATATGGCCGTTTTATATTTTGTACATTCAAAACTAGCCTAAATACTAAAGAAAAACCACAACATTTTTAGGTAATTATGTAAAATTAGAGGGTAAGTTCACCCAAAAAATATATTGATAATAACCCTCATGTTGCCCTAAATTCCTGAGTCCTTTGTTCATCTTTGGAATACAAATTAAGGTATTGTAAATAATAACAACAGCCCCAATAATTCTGCACAATAAACTGCAGACCATTGACGTGTGCATATGTCAGTAAAGCTAGTTCTGTAATCAGCAGTAAATCTCTAGCACATACATTCAGATGGGCCAGTGTTTATTATATAGAGCTGTATTTCATTGCAAAGCGATGCAAAATATTGCATACTATATCATTATGCGATAGTCAAATCACAGATAATCATTCTGGGATACTGACAGCTATTTGCATAGCTTCTCAGTAAACTACAGCCCTTTGTAGTAAATGTTGCTAATGCCACATATAATGACGTTTTCAATCCAAAACTGCTTCGTAACTTACTTTAAGTGTTTGATAATTATTTCATAGTATTCTAAGCAGTGAAAAAGATGTTGCATCATTACAACCTTTATTGTCCGGACATTTATAATAAGAAGAACTCCAACCTTATAAAGCATATGTTCTTGTGGTCATGTGTTTATTCATCCTGTTAAATCAGTGAGAGCAGTTTAATCTTCTGTTTATTCTCCAACCGCTTTATGGGTTTAAATGGGTTTCTTCGGGCTCATTTAGTGGGTCCATGTGACTCACGAGCACCCTCTGGCATTTGGAGGATGTTTACATCTGGTTTACTATTCACACCACATCGCAGTTTTGTCAATGCATCATTCAACCCTAGGTCTCAACATGTTCATAGTCCAGAAAAATACAGAAAAAAATCTAAATGGTGTATAGAATGACATAAGTGTGAGTAATTATTGACAATCTTCATTTTTGGATGAACTTACCTTTTAAATTCCATTGCACTAATGACTTGTAATCAATAAAACTGACAATAATCTGAATGTAATAATATATAATATATTTTAATATTAATATATAAAATTAGGCTTACTTCTAATTTCAAATCCACTTTCATATGCCCACATCTGACAATACTTCCCTCCCTCAAACTCTCCCTCTCACTCCGTCCTCCCATTATGAATAATGAACTTGTCCTCCTATGATCAGGCCTATTGGGGATTTCCGCTGCGTGTGTCAGGGCCTGTCTAATGGATTGCTGTATGCTAATTTGGCTCGAGGATGATGGGCAGTTCTCTGCTGGGGTCACCGGTGAAATAAAAGAGCCCTTTGTGCGAGTCTGAGCCATGTGCCTCTGACAGACCTTGAGAGTCTTCCTTTATACTTGTGCACAGCTACTGGAGAACCAAGAACAATGGGAAACAACAGGCTATGTCACTATTGATTTAAGGAGGGATGTGTGTCTCGGTGTCCTAGACCTCCGTAAACTCCTTCGGAGTGTGTTTGTAGGTAACCGGCAACTCTTGGAGGGTTTTGGATAAGCGGTTTCTATCGTCTGCGACCCAACATCAGTCTCACTGGCCTGTTTCCAACCCTCAGTCCATCAGCCATTAGGCCATTAATGAAGTAACCTCACATTGTTATTGACTGGCTTGTCAGTAGCCCTGCCTGAGTCCTTAATAGGAGCCATTGGTCTTAAGTTAAAAAAGGGCTGAAGGAGGTAGAGGAGGAGGCCATGCGCAGCATCTCAAGTGCCCTGCAGAGGTGAGCAGCTGCCAGCCCATGCAAATGATCTGGCGGAGACGAGCTGCTGTCTGGACCAATGAAAAATTCTGCCATTCAGCATTGGGATCAGTACAAACAGAACTCATTAAGTGTGGCCCATGCATAAGAATATGTACAGCAAAGGTTAAACAATTAAAAAAAAAAGTTAAAGTTGTTTTTAACAGTGAGTGTTGTTTGTCTATGAAGCAAAATAATAATAATAATAAAGTGCTATATTTCATATCCCCCTTGTGTCTTTTCAATCCTTATTGGCGTTCCACCCCTCTTATGTGAAACAAATCAAAACAAAGAAAGAATGCATTTTCTAAACTGATTAACTAAATCAGAATGTTTGATTTTTTTTATGAACATAATTTCTCTCCTAAAGAGCCACAAATGCAAGTTTAAAAAAAAAATAAAATTTGGAAGCTACACATCCTCATAATAATAATAATAATAACAATAATAATAATAGCACGGTGGCGCAGTGGGTAGCACAATTGCCTCAGAGCAAGAAGGTCGCTGGTTTGAACCCCGGCAGGGTCAGTTGGCATATCTGTGTGGAGCTTACATGTTCTCTCCGTGTGCGCGTGGGTTTTCTCCGCATGCTCCAGTTTCCCCCACAGTCCAAAGACGTGCGGTACAGGTGAATTGAATAAGCTAAATTGGCAGTGTATGTAAGTGTGTGCAAGAGTGTATGGGTGTTTCCCAGTGTTGGGTTGTGTCTGGAAGGACATCCGCTGCGTAAAACATGTGCTGGATAAGTTGGGGGTTCATTCTGCTGTGGTGACCCCAGATTATTAAGAGACTAACGCCTGTTTCACACCACAAGCGTCAGCGGTGTGTGAGCAGAGCGTGCGCAGCGCGTATGTCGAGCAGTAGCAGCACGCAGGCGTTTGCCTTTCACACCAGCTGCATCTGCAGCGTGCAGCTCTTCGGCAGCTGCTGCAGAGATCAACCTATCTCTGTCTATTCTATCTAGTTACCCATGTCTCTCTATATACAAATACACTTTTTAAACTTTTCATCTGCACCAAGGCCCCTCTTATGCTGTTTCTTTAACCTGCAAATGTTTATTTTACAAATTTTATAGATCAAATAGTACTGTATGCTTCTCAAGCTAACTTATATGAGAAGTGTCTACAGTCAGAAGACAATCGCCTGTGATATCATGTCATTTGTTTTTTTGATTATCAGGTTACTGTAGACCTAGTTAAAATAATATTTATACAATATAGTTATTATGATATTTATACATGATCAAACTAGTTTTACTTTCTCCGCTTCAGTGATGTCCAGTGGCAGAATAACAGCTTGTTAATTCATGCTCGTGCAGAGGATGAGACGGACAAAAGTAACCAATGCATGCCATTCTTTTACTTATTTTCTAGTTGTTAGGTTCACAGTGCAAACAGCTCCCGGTAGGAATAACTCGAGTGAACATAAAACAAAGCCGATTAAAACTTACTTCCTCTGCTCAGCTGCACAGAACACAGCGAGCTCACATAATCCAGCATGCGTGTCGAACTACACTACCTACAATACACTTCGCTATAGACTACAAATCCCGTAAATATTCTATTTCCCCTCTCCTACAACACTAGTGTGCAACTTAAGCAAAACTGATACTAAAATTTTTTTACATTTGGTTTTGTAGTTTGGGCCTAAATAAATGTTTGTTGCCGTTTTTAATCGTTTTAAGTTAATTTGAATGACTATATATAAACCATTTGACATTATTAACGCATTTATTGGGTAAAATTGCTACTTTTTATTGTCATTCAATGTGTTTTGGTCATTATCAACGCACTGTCACTTTAATTGAGCGTGAGCAGCGCGTCAAAAATAGACCCAGCGCCGAAACTATCTGTGCATTGCTGCTTCGGCGACGCTCACAGCTTGCTCTGACGCGCTGCTGCTGCGTGCGGTATGAAAGCTCTAATCTGTTAACATGGATGCCGAAAACACACGCGCTGCTCACACTCTGCTCACTCGCCGCTGACGCTTGCGGTGTGAAACAGGCGTAAGCCGAAAAGAAAATAAATAAATAAATAATAATAATCAAGGCTTGACATTAACAATTGCCAACCTGCCAAACGCGGATAGCCACTGTGGCTGGTTGAAAATACTTTTTAAATTGCCAGTCTTGGCTCATTACTAAAAAATAAAGTTTTTTTATGATCTTTGTCAGTATCCGTGCAAATGTGATCTTAGAATCAAGAGGCAGCCTGACTGACAAAACTAACTGTTTGTGTGAGCAAAAGAAAGCAGGTAAATACCAAATGAGATGATCAGGCACAGGGTGAGATGCAGGCTATCAGGCTAAATGAACTCACTGAGATGTGAAGCGATTGTGCTTGGAACTCAACTGGTGCGATCGGTTCTTTTTGAAATAGACAGGAAATAAAACTATGCTCGTGCACCCACAGTCCTGCAGCTTTCAAGAGCTTGATATTACTTTGTAAGCATCAGCGGTTGGCGCTTTCATTTTAGCCATTCTTTGAGCAGATTATTAATTGTCATAACGTTAACCGTGTGTGCGTGATCATCCTTTTATCATCGCATCCTTAGTGTCGAGCTCTGAAAAGTTATGAGAAATAGACTATTAATGTAAATAATAATTAAATTATTGAATTAAAATAATTACAATGTGACAGTAAAAAACCACAGCCCATTTGCTCATGATAATTGAGCAAGGTCATACACAACACACAAAATATGTTAAATGAATGAGAAGACATGTGAATATAACACAAAATTGAAATCTAGTAGCATGGCAAATTCAAGTTTATGGATTTAAAATATATTTTCCCAACAACAACATTGTGGCTAGTGAAAATGGAGAGTGGCTAGTAACATTGGAAAACTACTAGCCACAGTGGCAGGTGATCAAAAAAAGTTAATGTCATGGCCTGGTCATAATAATAATAATAATAATAATAATAATAATAATAATAATAATAATAATAATAACAATAATGATAATAATAATAATAATTAAATTATATATATATATATATATAAATAATAATAATAACAATAATGATAATATAATAAGATTAATATTAGGGGTGACGCAGTGGCGCAGTAGGTAGTGCTGTCACCTCACAGCAAGAAAATCGCTGGTTTGAGCCTCGGCTGGGTCAGTTGGCTTTTCTGTGTGGAGTTTGCATGTTCTCCCTGCGTTTGCGTGGGTTTCCTCCGGGTGCTCCGGTTTCCCCCACAGTCCAAAGACATGCATTACAGGTGAATTGGCAAGGCTAAATTGTTAGTAGTGTATGAGTGTGAATGAGTTTGTGTGGATTTTTCCAGGGATGGGTTGTGGCTGGAGGGGTAAAAACATGTACTGGATGGGTTGGCGGTTCATTCCGCTGGGGCGACCCCAGATTAATAAAGGGACTAAGCTGAAAAGAAAATGAATGAATGAATGAATAATAATGATAATGATAATAATTGTAATATCAAAGCACTTTATCACATCCTCCAACCCACCAGGGGGCACAGCGATACTGCCCTATACTCCTCAACATTAGATGGCGGTAGTAACTCTTGTTCCTCTAAACTCTCCTGTAATCAGCCTAATCACCACCACCGGTTCTTTGCTTTATATGAGAATGCTTTGTATCCTGCTTTGTGTTCAGTCCTGAACCCTACCTCTTGCTGCCTTGTTGAGTGTCCAGTTATTCTCAAGACGTTTTGTTTGCTATATTCCCAGTTGATTGTTCTGAGTCCCTCGTGTCTATTTTATTATGTATGTATTTTAGGAAGCTCGGCCTTCCTATTTTTGTTGTACTTTTTCTACCCTGGCTGTAGAGAGATATTGTCTCTCCTTTTTGTAAAATTCTCTTCAGTAAAGACTGTATTACTTTTTGCAATTCATACGTTGTGGACTAACTTTGTTCCTTGTCTGCTCTTGGCCCACCAGTTGCTGATTTAGCTCAGGTAGTAAGAACTACTGCTAACCACACCGTAGACCCAGGTTCAATCCCCACTCAGATCATTACAATAATAATAATAATAATAATAACACAATTCTGTAAGGATGCATTCAATTGTATGTCACAAAACTGCATACGAATGTTGTTGTGATGAATCCTGGGAGGAGAGGGAAAAAATTTCAGCTTCCATTAAAATATTAATTAAAAAAATTTGTTCAATGTTGATCACTATAAGAAATGTTTCTTGAGAGCAACAAATCAACATAGTATTACAATTGATTTCTGTAGGATCATGCAACACTTGAGTAATCTTGCTGAAAATTTTGCTCTGATAATACACAAATAAATAGGAATTTCAAATTCATTATTAGAAAACAGCATAGCATCTATACTGCATACTGTATTATTTATATGTTTTGCTTGTATCACATTGAAAACAGTGGCTGACATATTCTTAAAAATAAACGTATATGTTCCACCAAAGAAACAAAGTTATATGGGTGTAGAATGATACACGGTTGAGAAAATGATGACAGAATTATCTTCTGTTTGCATCATTTTTCTTTTAAGCATGTCTCTTCTTTTTCTTTTCAGGCTATCGGGTTCATCCAGCACATAAAACTCATCACCGAAAATGAATAGAAGCGGTTGGAGAAGAGACTGGAGATGTGAACTGTCCCTCTGGAACGAGCTGCCATTAAGTTTACTAAAAATGTCTGATGGTTTCGCCCAGACAGTTAGGAAAGCTGTGTCTGAACGGGATCCAAATCTCTGGTATGTGGCGCAGTAATGACAGAGAAATGTTGTCATAATTATTGTAATTTCCTTTGATTTAGAAAGTTGGTGTAGTTTTAATTGAGCGGACAAATTTAGCTGTTTTGGACAGCTGAGTTCATGATTATGTGTTTTTTTTTACTCCCTCTTATCTTAACAGACTTCACCCAGTACGGATCAAACTTTTATACATATAATCAAGATTTTTATTCTTCCTTATGTCTTTTCTAACATGTTACTAAAGCTGTAAGTCAAACTTTTTATACAAAGTCTGCTGGCTTACTCCAGACATTTTTTTTTTTTTCTAGTTCGGTGAAATGAATCTTACAGTGATTATGCGTGATGATAAATTTCAGCCCAAACTCAGCCCAGCATTTTGTTCTCTTGAGAATCATTTGGATTGTGGCTTTAAAACATTTCCATTGCTCCCGAGGAATAGGAATGTATCAGTAAAATGAGATAGTTAGCATGTATTTCTTATTACGAATGATTTGTATGGCCATCTGTCTGTTATGACCGAACCCCTAGCATATCACAATGCCATCAAAACCTCGTTTTCTGACCGTACTCGTGTAAACATGTGAAATTGAATTGAGTTGGTTCCAATCAGAATGTCAGATGAATGAGATGCCCGCGTTTTGATGCCCCACAAAGGGAACAAAAATTCACCATAGCCGTATTTACAATATCAGACATTCTGTGTGTTTATTGATAGGCTCCGGCTCTCTTGGCTCTTTGGTATTGATGAATGGCAGTGGGTGTGGTGTAATTTCTCGTGTGTGGTCATAATTCCTGATGAGTTGAGCCTTCTGGCTGCCTTTATGGCACTTGTGGGCTCGCATTGAAAGGAATAAGAGGGTGTTTTAAGGCAGAGTGGATTTCAGTCTTATCCTGACTAATAGACTTGTGTAATGTTACTCAACATTCATTCAGCTCTAACTGAAACATTGCACAATAACATGCCTGGAAGCAAGATTTAATAATTGCATTTTGGGTTTTGTGATTTGAATGTTGTTTTATAAAAGCGTATTGCTCTTGCTGCCATCAGGATGTGATCTGAAAGCATCTTAGCCGCAATGAACCGATTGATGAGTTGGACTTGAGTCTGACTTTTTTTTAATTCCTGTTTGACCCTTATTCATTAGCAACATTTGGTGAAAGTTGAGGATACTTGTTGAAATATAAATTGAAGGGGAGAGTTTTTTTTTTCTATTTGTGAGATTAATGTTGTGTCTGTTACTTCGCGATTTATTTTGGGCTGTCTGTGTTAGAACAAATGGCTCTTATTTCTTAAAGTTTCTTATTGCAATTATTTTGTTCATCAAGTGTTTGACAGTGGATTGTTGTAAGGAAACTTTTGAAATATGGTTCAAATTGTTGCATTAATACAGAGTATACATGCATGTTTTTTTTTTGTTGTTGTTGTTTTTGACTCACTCATAGACTCACACATGCAGAACTCAAATGTCTTGGCATTTGCCTTTGCCTTGATTATGGTTTGCATACATAAACACTTTACTATTGAGACGCTGGTTTACTTTAGCAGAGAAACAGTTTGTGTATCATCTAGCAATACAATGGTGAGATGTTTTAACACAATGTTCAGTGTTTATTACACACTGAGCAGTGCACAAAAGATCACACTCTTCCAAATATGACAGAACTTGTGTTTTAAAGCAAAACACCTATTAGAATACGTCATTTTCTTAGTTCTTGCAATCATCCTGTTTTCTTTACAGTACAATAGCTCTATGTTCAACACAGGCACATTGGAAATGCAGGCTTCAACATGTAATTAAACATACATTTAACTGTATTTTCCAAATAAAACGAATGCTGTAGAGCAGTATGACGGCAACAACTTTTCTTCGTTTACATACTAATAATATTTACAAACACATATTATCAACAAATAAAGGATTATTTACATGCATTTCTTTGCACAACACCAAATACAAACCACAAAACAACTCAAAGGTGTCTATTGTTTGGAATTAAATGCATTTGCCTCTCCTATTTATGTCCCTATAGACAGCTTTTCTGTTGAGGTCAGTTTACTATAGCTCACCTTGTACAGTGTTGCACTTGTGATGTAGAATGCTTGGGTTCAAGTCTGCTCAATCATGGTTCCACAAAAGAGATCAATTCTCTGTTTAAAAAGATTTTTCTCTTCTGTTTGCTTCTGAAAACACTATTGGTTGGGCTTAGGTCAGTAGTTTGCTTGGGGATTCTGTATGACAAGCCCTGCCTTCCCAATGGATATGTACAATTAGCATGTTTATTCAGATTCACAAAAATGTAGACACCGCCCTTAAATGAATTGAACTGAAACGTGCAACAAAATATGATCAGAACAACATACAGTACTTTATGCTTTGCAATAATGCATCCTGGGGCACAAATTTCCAACGAGCCTATCTTTGACTGATTGTTTGAAAATGTATTTACTTACTGGGTTTTTAGTTTAAACACTGTCCTTGAGGTTAGTGGTTTCAATTAAAACAAGTTTTCCACCTACTAGTGTTACAGTATTATTTTTAATCATTATAAAATGTATGTTTTTTTCTAACTATTTCCATGTTTTTATTAAGTTATTTTATGCTAAATGAACACATTAAATTGCCAACCCTAAACTAGACAGAAATGTTTCCATACACACATGAAAAGTGTGTAGGATTACCTGTCACTCTCAGAGTCCATTTTCTTACCTTATCGGAGTGCTACAGCGGAGCTGTGCTAAGGACAGACAGTGTGGAGGCCTGAGGGCTGTGTGTATCTATGGCACCCTCAGTTGCCTGAATGAGAAATGTGCATTTCTCCCAGCCCTGACAACAAACCACGACTGCATGTCTCCAGCAAAATAAAGCTCCCTCACTCAGTCAAGAAAAAGACAAAGCAGTTTAGTTCTCTCACTTTGTGTGTGTGTGTGTGTGTGTGTGTATGTGTATATGTGTGTGTTTAAGAAGCTCCCTCTTCTTATTTTCTCCTCTCAAGGTTACGGTCATCTTTTTATACTGGATTATAAAAGGGTTCAGTCTGATGGAGGTGCTCAGTGTTATTTTGTAATTAGAATGTAATCCTCTTCTCATTGCACACACTCATTGGTAGACCCTCCCTGCATGCAATTGGAATAATGTGAATGAAAAATGTGAATAATAGTTTTGTCGAAAGGAACTGTTGATATACACATGAATAGACCTGTCTGATTCTCTATATTATCACCAAAAGAAGACTTCTTGAACAAAGATTCAGTTTGATTGCAGATTCAGCAAGTATACGTACAACTTGCTTTTCTAATGAAAAAATGTGGAATGAAGTTCTAGATTCCGATATCAAGAACAAATAAAAAAGGAAGAATTGTAAGAAGTCCTTTGGAGAAAAAGGGTAAATAAATAAATAATCAAAATGTGAGAAAAGTTGAAGACAGAAGGGACAGGAGAAGGTAAAAAAGGGAAAGGTTAGTTGGGTGGCCTTTATAGATCTGTATGTCTGTTGAGGGGATCAGCAGGCAGCGGCTGATGAACTTCACTTTCTATTAGTGGCCATGGTGGGGATGTTCTCTCCCTACCGATCAATAGGCTGAAGGACAAGAGTGTCAGAAAAATGAGAGACCCTTCTCTTTCTTGGCAGGGCGGTCTCTGAGCGGACGGCGAGGCACTGAGTGCCAGAGACCCTTAGTCCCTCTGGAGTGGCTTTGAGTGAGGGAGCCATTTTGGGTGGGGGCGAGTGCAAGGAGGAACTCTCATCATCCATGTCCTTCTGTTAACAGTTTGAAAAGGATAACTCCAACAGAAAGACTCCACAAAACCTTTTGTGAATGGTTAGAGGTTGTTTTGTTTCATCTATTGATTGCACTATACAACAGTGGAGTAGTACGTGAAGATGGCAAGGTATTTTTTTATTTATTTTATTTTAAATCCTTCTTAAAATAATATTGCTGGTTCAGTATGAGTTCAGCTTATTAGGCAATGTTTGTTCTATAATGCTGGCTGTAAGAGTGCTTTTATATAATTGATAATCACATTCAAGAGGTAATATAAAGTAGCTTGCATTATAGACATTATTTTTTCAATAGTGAAAGTAGCTCCAAACGAAGCAAGATTAATTGATCTCCACGACACACTATAGCATTTTGCTTTTCTGTTTTAAAAATATTAGTTTAATTTGACCAAGTCAATCATTCAGTGGCTCACTTAGTATGTCTGGTTACATCTGGTATTATATTATTTTCTTCTGTGTATAGTTTTTAAAACCAAGTCAATTGGATGGTTTTCCTTAATGAATTTCCCTTTACAATACTGTGTGTGCATGTGCGCATGTATGGAGTTAGAACAAATTTTATTATTAGTCATAGATAAGACATGTTAACACATGCAGTTTTGCAATGAAGGTTTCAAAGTCAAATGTGTGTTTGCATGTGTGTTAGAGTCCAATTTTTTATCATTATTTTTATTCAAATAGTTTTTATTATTAAGGGTAAACAAATTACAAAACTACATAGCCCTGTGTGTAAAGTGTTTCCCCTTAAACCTAATTACTATGCCACTCTTAGCAGCAACAACTACAATCAAGCATTTTCATTAACTTGAAATGAGTCTGTTACAGCACTGTGAAGGAATTTTGGCCCACTCATCTTTCTGGAATTGTTGTAATTTAGCCACATTGGAAGGCTTTTGAGCATAAACCACATTTTTAAGGTCTTGACACAGCATCTCAATTGAATTCAGGTCAGGATTTTGACTCGGCCACTCCAAACTCTTCATTTGGTTTTATTTTGTGTTATAGTGTTAAATTTTAACAGGTGCAAATACTTTTTCCACATAGGGCGGTGTAGTTTTGGATTTTGTTTTCCCTTAGTAATAAAACCTTGATTAAATAACTCCATGGTATTTTTACCTCTGTCATCTTTGACTAATATTTAAATTAGTTTGATAATCTGAAACATTAAAGTGTGACAAAAATGCTAAAATAATAAGCAATCAGTAAGGGGAAAACACTTT